ATAAATATTTCTGGGTCTCAGCTAAAAGAATGACTGTTTTGACTGGCTAACAACTTGTGCTAACGATCCACTTCATTTTGGGGTACATTTGGAATTTTTTATAAGGGTTGCATCACGTTTTTTTTGGCAAACATTTTTAAATACAATTTTTTTTAGTTTTGAATGCCAATCGATTCGAAATTTTGCTACGAACTCACCGCGGCGTGACACTCGTCGTTTGGAGTATTTGTTGCGTTGTTTCGGACAAAATACTGATATTATTTGTTTCAAAATTAGGATTCTTAGCTAATAGCTAAAACATAAATATTTCGGTGATTTTTTTGTCGCTGCTACGCCCAATTGAGGGTATCAGCTAAAATAATATCTCTTTTGACTAGCTAACAACCTGAGCTAACGATCCTCTTCATTTTCGGGTAGTTTTAGGAGACATACATTTTTGGACAATTTTTTCATTTTTTTAAGGGGTGACATCACGTTAATTTTTTTTGTTAAAAATTGTCAAAATCTAAATTATCCAGTTTTGAATGCCAATCGGTTCGAAATTTTGTTACGAACTCAACGCGGCGTGACACTCCTCGTTTGGACTATTTGTTCCGTTGTTTCGGACAAAATACAGATATAATTTGGTGGAAAATTAGGATTCTTAGCTAATAGCTAAAACATAAATATTTCTGTGATTTTTTTGTCGCTGCTACGCCCAATTGAGGGTATCAGCTAAAAGAACATCTGTTTTAACTAGCTAACAACCTGAGCTAACGATCCTCTTCATTTTCGGGTAATTTTAGGAGACATACATTTTTGGACAATTTTTTCATATTTTAAGGGGTTACATCACGTTAATTTTTTTTGCTAAAAATTGTCAAAATCTAAATTATTCAGTTTTGAATGCGAATCGATTGGAAATTTTGTTACGAACTCAACGCGGCGTGACACTCGTCGTTTGGAGTATTTGTTGCGTTGTTTCGGACAAAATACTGATATTATTTGTTTCAAAATTAGGATTCTTAGCTAATGGCTAAAACATAAATATTTCGGTGATATTTTTTCGCTGCTACGCCAAATTGAGGGTATCAGCTAAAAGAACATCTGTTTTAACTAGCTAACAACCTGAGCTAACGATCCTCTTCATTTTCGGGTAGTTTTAGGAGACATACATTTTTGGACAATTTTTTCATTTTTTTAAGGGGTGACATCACGTTAATTTTTTTTGTTAAAAATTGTCAAAATCTAAATTATCCAGTTTTGAATGCCAATCGGTTCGAAATTTTGTTACGAACTCAACGCGGCGTGACACTCCTCGTTTGGACTATTTGTTCCGTTGTTTCGGACAAAATACAGATATAATTTGGTGGAAAATTAGGATTCTTAGCTAATAGCTAAAACATAAATATTTCTGTGATTTTTTTGTCGCTGCTACGCCTTATTCAGGGTCTCAGCTAAAAGAATGACTGTTTTGACTGGCTAACAACTTGCGCTAACGATCCACTTCATTTTGGGGTACATTTGTAATTTTTTATAGGGGTTGCATCACGTTTTTTTGGCAAACATTTTTAAACACAATTTTTTTTAGTTTTGAATGCCAATCGATTCGAAATTTTGCTACAAACTCAACACGGCATAACACTCCTCGTTTGGACTATTTTTTGCGTTGTTTCAGACAAAATACAGATATAATTTGGTGGAAAATGAGGATTCTTAGCTAATAGCTAAAACATAAATATTTCGGTGATATTTTTGTCGCTGCTACGCCCAATTGAGGGTATCAGCTTAAAGAATATCTGTTTTAACTAGCTAAAAACCTGAGCTAACGATCCTCTTCATTTTCGGGTACATTTAGGAGACATACATTAATGGGCATTTTTTACATTATTTTATAAGGGGTTACATCACGTTAAATTTTTTTTTTTGGACAAAATTTGTCAAAAACTAAGTAATCCAGTTTATAATGCCAATCGATTCGAAATTTTTTTACGAACTCAACGCGGCTTGACACTCCTCATTTGGACTATTTGTTGCGTTGTTTCGGACAAAATACTGATATAATTTGGCGGAAAATTAGGATTCTTAGCTAATGGCAAAAACATAAGCATTTCATTGATTTTTTGTCGCTGCTACGCCTTATTAAGGGTCTCAGCTAAAAGAATATCTGTTTTAACTAGCTAACAACCTGAGCTAACGATCCTCTTCCTTTTTGGGGTAATTGTAGGAGACATACATTTTTGGACAATTTGTTTATTTTTTTAAGGGGTGACATCACGTTAATTTTTTTTTTATTATTTAGTTTTGAATGCCAATCGATTCGAAATTTTGTTACGAACTCAACGCGGCGTGACACTCCTCGTTTGGACTATTTGTTGCGTTGTTTCGGACAAAATACTGATTATTTGTTTCAAAATTAGGATTCTTAGCTAATGGCTAGAACATAAATATTTCGGTGATATTTTTTCGCTGCTACGCCAAATTGAGGGTATCACCTAAAAGAACATCTGTTTTAACTAGCTAACAACCTGACCTAACGATCCTCTTCATTTTCGGGTAGTTTTAAGAGACATACATTTTTTGACAATTTTTTCATTTTTTTAAGGGGTGACATCACGTTAATTTTTATTGCTAAAAATTGTCAAAATCTAAATTATTCAGTTCTGAATGCGAATCGATTGGAAATTTTGTTACGAACTCAACGCGGCGTGACACTCCTCGTTTGGACTATTTGTTGCGTTGTTTCGGACAAAATACTTATATAATTTGGTGGAAAATTAGGATTCCTAGCTAATGGCTAAAACATAAATATTTCGGTGAAATATCTGTTTCAACTGGCTAGCAAGCTGAGCTAACGATCCACTTCATTTTCGGGTACATTTAGGAGACATACATTAATGGGAATTTTTGGGATTTTTTATAAGGGGTTACATCACTTTTTTTGTTTGATATGATGATATTATTTGTTTCAAAATTAGGATTCTTAGCTAATGGCTAAAACAAATATTTCGGTGATATTTTTGTCGCTTCTACGCCCAATTGAGGGTATCAGCTAAAATAATATCTGTTTTGACCAGCTAACAACCTGAGCTAACGATCCTCTTTATTTTCGGGTAGTTTTAGGAGACATACATTTTTGGACAATTTTTTCATATTTTTAAGGGGTGACATCACGTTAATTTTTTTTGTTAAAAATTGTCAAAATCTAAATTATTCAGTTTTGAATGCGAATCGATTGGAAATTTTGTTACGAATTCAACGCGGCGTGACACTCCTCGTTTGGACTATTTGTTCCGTTGTTTCGGACAAAATACTTATATAATTTGGTGGAAAATTAGGATTCCTAGCTAATGGCTAAAACATAAATATTTCGGTGATTTTTTTGTCGCTGCTACGCCCTATTCTGCGTCTCAGCTAAAAGAATGACTGTTTTGAATGGCTAACAACCTAAGCTAACGATCCACTTCATTTTCGGATACATTTAGGAAACTTACATTTTTGTCAAATTTGTACAGGCATTTGATCATGTTTTTTGTAAAGTTTTCAGTTTTGAATGCCAATTAATTGCAAATTTTATGTTAAACTCAACGCAGTATAACACTATATTTGGATCATTTCTTGCGTTGCTTCGGAAAAAATACTGAAAATTAAAATTCATGACTAAAGGAAAAAACAGGAATTTGTCGGTTTTTTTGTCGTTATTAGTCCTAATTGAGGTACTCAGTTAAAAGAATATTTGTTTTGACTAGCTAAAAATGTTCCGGTCCAATTATATGATTTTTCTTTGAAATACCATTGGTGTAACTGTGTTGCCGCAAACTAAACAAAAACAAGTAAACACAAAAAATTAAATATATGTATGTGGGCACACTAAATGTATTTAATCAGTCATAAACAGAGCGTGTGCAAGGGGAGAGGTGACGATGATTGATGGCTAGGCCAAATTAAAATCCAGCGATAAAAACCAAAAAAATACTGATTAACCCATTAACAAATGAAAACGCAATTTAACCCATATAGTTACACATGAATGTATGTACGTTCCTATCATTATATCACATAAATATTCGGTACAATACATATGTACATACAACATCAATAACGGGTCGTTTGGATAGGTTTTCGGCATTTTATACTCTGGCAAACAACACCAGCAACGTAACGAAAGCAAAGACTAAAAAACAACCACCAAATTAGACCTAGCGTGCAAAGACACACACACACACACACACCACGAAGGCGTGGCCAGAGAATCAAAAATGTATGCATGTATACATGTCAATATGTACACATTCAAAGCAGGGCAGCAGACAAATTATCCGCAACCATTTTTGGCGCCATTCCTACAAGTTACCTGTGCTTTTTCGCGCATCACTACCATTACTTTTCTTTTTCTTGTCTATTCTTTTTGCGGTCCGTTACTCCGTTATATGTAAACAGTATTCAACGAAAATGTAACGTATTTTCCCCATATTCTGTCTTCTCTCATCTTTATGCGGGGCGTTGTTCAGCTGCTTTACATATGTACATTGTACATATATATTAATGCGGAGTACTGAACGAAAGTGTAACGTATTTTTTCCCTCTCTCTGTTTTCACTCCACTCTCTGAATTAAAAATGCTCACTCCTTCCTCTCTCTCTCTCTCTCTCTCTCTCACCTCTCTGTATCAGCAAAAGCGAACGGTTCGCTCACTTGGCGAAAAAAAGGGAATGTTTAATTTAAAGAAAATAAAAACGTAATAATCTAAATCGAAGAAATACTGCTTAAATACCATGTATTTACTAATAATCCTCCTTTTATTACAAATTAATAATTAATAAATTGTCATGTACAATATTATTTATTACTTATTACCTATTTACTTCTCATTGTTTTCAACTTTCTTATTTCTAATTACTTATTTATATATATATTATTTTGTACTATTCGTATTTCATTATTAATAAATTAATAAATTATATATATATATGCAAAAAATGTTTATATCTACAAAATTCATTCTTGTTATTTTTGGCACAGTGCATTGGAAGCATTCCGTAAGGGCGACGCGGCCATCTTTTTTTTTGCTCTCTAATTCTCTTATTGACCAACTCTGCTTGAGCAGAGCTCATTAGAAGCTGACTGCTTGATGAAGACGAACGTAGCTGACGAATAATTTATACTTAAAGGTAAGTTGGCCAGTTTTGTTTTTACATACAACACGTAACATGTACAACTTATTGTAAATATATCTAATTTCTTATATATGTATATGTATTTATTTCCAGCTCAACGAAACACAAAAGGATTACAACACAAACACACACAAGGACTAAAATTAACTTCGGTGAGTGTACAACAAATAAAAATGCATTTATATTTAAGTGAAAAAAAAACAAACAGTTTAAAACTACAAATCAACACACAAACAAATGAAACAGACGTACAATCAATAGTTTAAAAACTAAGTGACCCAAAAAGAAGAGAAGTGTACCTGTAAAATTCAAATAAAACAGGCAATCTTGTCATTCTTTTATAAATACATATAAATACACAAACATCCATATACATTTGGCCGGTCACACCGGCTTTAATTACATACTTATTTACAAAACCCAATCACAAAAAGGATAGGAAAATGAATACAGCAATTTTTTTTCAAATGAAAAAGTTCTTATGTTTTTTTTTAGTGTTGACAATATAAAAGAGTGTCGCTATATACTTATATATATATATATATTTGTGCTTGTGTGTTATTATAGCCCCCACCAAACCAACATGGTTTCACGTACAAATAAATAATTTCTTACCAAATTCGTATCCAGCTGTCTATCTGCCACCCTATGGCCTAAAATAACCAACTATCAAGTTAAGCTACAGATATTGCTGATTCCTATTTATAATTAAAAACAATTCTCATGCTGGGTCTTTCGCAGCGGGTTTAAAAGAAAAACATATTTTCATTGACAGATAACAAGTGTAAAACAATAGTGTTTGTTGTTTTTATTTGTTAGGGCCCTTTGTTAAAAACAATACTGTTTCTCAACTTTTTTCGTCGTAATTAACTTAAATAGTGTCTTGGCTCAAAGATGGGATGCCTTGACCAACTTACAACCGAAGGTGACGATCCATATCACTTTCAGGTAAATTTAAGACGTGCATATTTTTCATTTTTCTCATGGGCTTAAACGTAACTTTTTTGAGCATTAACAAACATTTTTAGGATTAAGTGCCAAGCGATTCGAAACTTTTAACGAACCCAATGCGGTGCCAAAATAGGATTCTTAACTAATGGCAAAAATATAAATATTTCGGTGATTTTTTTTTTCGCTGCTACGCCCAATTGAGGGTATCAGCTAAAATAGTATCTGTTTTAACTAGCTAACAAGCTGAGCTAACGATCCACTTCAATTTCGGGTACATTTAGGAGACATACATTAATGGGCATTTTTGGGAATTTTTATAAGGGGTTACATCACTTTTTTTGTTTGCCAAAATTTGTCAAAAACCAAGTTATCCAGTTTTGAATGCCAATCGATTCGAATTTTGTTACGAACTCAACGCGGCGTGACACTCCTCTATTTACTATTTGTTGCGTTGTTTCGGACAAAATACTGATATAATTTGGTGGAAAATTAGGATTAGCTAATGGCTAAAACATAAATATTTCGGTGATTTTTTTGTCGCTGCTACGCTCAATTGAGGCTCTCAGCTAAAAGAATATCTGTTTTAACTGGCTAACAAGCTGAGCTAACGATCCACTTAATTTACGGGTACATTTAGGATTCATACATTAATGGGCATGTTTGGGATTTTTTGTAAGGGTCTACACCATTATTTTTTTTTTTACCAAAAATTGTCAAAAACTAAATTATCCAGCTTTGAATGCCAATCGATTCGAAATTTTGTTGCGAACTCAACGCGGCTTGACACTCCTCATTTGGACTATTTGTTGCGTTGTTTCTTACAAAATACTGATATAATTTGGCGGAAAACTAGGATTCTTAGCTAGTGGCAAAAACATAAGCATTTCATTGATTTTTTGTCGCTGCTACGCCTTATTAAGGGTCTCAGCTAAAAGAATATCTGTTTTAACTAGCTAACAACCTGAGCTAACGATCCTCTTCCTTTTTGGGGTAATTTTAGGAGACATACATTTTTGGCCAATTTGTTTATTTTTTTAAGGGAATTTTTTTCAAATTCTAAATTATTCAGTTTTGAATGCCAATCGATTCGAAATTTTGTTACGAACTCAACGCGGCTTGACACTCCTCATTTGGACTATTTGTTGCGTTGTTTCGGACAAAATACAGATATAATTTGGCGGAAAATTAGGATTCTTAGCTAATAACTAAAACATAAATATTTCGGTGATATTTTTGTCGCTGCTACGCCCAATTGAAGGCTTCAGCTAAGAGAATATCTGCTTTAACTGGCTAGCAACCTGAGCTAACGAACCTCTTCAGGGTCTCAGCTAAAAGAATAAGTTTTTTGAAAGGCTAGCAACCTGAGCTAACGATCCACTTCATTTTGGGGTACATTTAGTAATTTTTTTTAAGGGTTACATCACGTTTTTTTTGACACATTTTTAAATACAATTTTTTTTAGTTTTGAATGCCAATCGATTCGAAATTTTGCTACAAACTCAACACGGCATAACACTCCTCGTTTGGACTATTTTTTGGGTTGTTTCAGACAAAATACAGATATAATTTGGTGGAAAATTAGGATTCTTAGCTAATAGCTAAAACATAAATATTTCGGTGATATTTTTGTCGCTGCTACGCCCAATTGAGGGTATCAGCTTAAAGAATATCTGTTTTAACTAGCTAAAAACCTGAGCTAACGATCCTCTTCATTTTCGGGTACATTTAGGAGACATACATTAATGGGCATTTTTTACATTATTTTATAAGGGGTTACATCAAGTTAAATTTTTTTTTTGGACAAAATTTGTCAAAAACTAAGTTATCCAGTTTATAATGCCAATCGATTCGAAATTTTGTTACGAACTCAACGCGGCTTGACACTCCTCATTTGGACTATTTGTTGCGTTGTTTCGGACAAAATACAGATATAATTTGGCGGAAAATTAGGATTCTTAGCTAATGGCAAAAACATAAGCATTTCATTGATTTTTTGTCGCTGCTACGCCTTATTAAGGGTCTCAGCTAAAAGAATATCTGTTTTAACTAGCTAACAACCTGAGCTAACGATCCTCTTCCTTTTTGGGGTAATTGTAGGAGACATACATTTTTGGACAATTTGTTTATTTTTTTAAGGGGTGACATCTCGTTAATTTTTTTTGCTAAAAATTGTCAAATTCTAAATTATTCAGTTTTGAATGCCAATCGATTCGAAATTTTGTTACGAACTCAACGCGGCGTGACACTCCTCGTTTGGACTATTTGTTGCGTTGTTTCGGACAAAATACTGATTATTTGTTTCAAAATTAGGATTCTTTGCTAATGGCTAAAACATAAATATTTCGGTGATATTTGTTCGCTGCTACGCCAAATTGAGGGTATCAGCTAAAATAATATCTGTTTTGACTAGCTAACAACCTGAGCTAACGATCCTCTTCATTTTCGGGTAGTTTTAGGAGACATACATTTTTTGACAATTTTTTCATTTTTTTAAAGGGGTTACATCACGTTAATTTCTTTTGCTAAAAATTGTCAAAATCTAAATTATTCAGTTTTGAATGAGAATCGATTGGAAATTTTGTTACGAACTCAACGCGGCGTGACACTCCTCGTTTGAATAATTTGTTGTGTTGTTTAGGACAAAATACTGATACAAATTGGTTCAAAATTAGGATTCTTAGCTAATGGCAAAAACATAAATATTTCGGTGATTCTTTTGTCGCTGCTACGCCCAATTGAGGGTATCAGCTAAAAGAATATATGTTTTAACTAGCTAACAACCTGAGCTAACGATCCTCTTCATTTTCGGGTAATTTTACGAGACATACATTTGTGGGAAATTTTTTCATTTATTTTAGGGGGTTACATCATTATTTTTTTTAACCAAAAATTGTCAAAAACTAAATTATCCAGTTTTGAATGCCAATCGATTCAAAATTTTGTTACGAACTCAACGCGGCGTGACACTACTCGTTTGAATAATTTTTTGCGTTGTTTCGGACAAAATACTGATATAATTTGGAGGAAAATTAGGATTCTTAGCTAATAACTAAAACATAAATATTTTGGTGATTTTTTTTGTCGCTGCTTTGCCCAATTGACGGTCTCAGCTAAAATAATATCTGTTTTAACTAGCTAACAACCTGAGCTAACGGTCCTCTTCATTTTCTGGTAATTTTACGAGACATACATTTGTGGGCAATTTTTTCATTTTTTTAGGGGGTTACATCATTATTTTTTTTAACCAAAAATTGTCAAAAACTAAATTATCCAGTTTTGAATGCCAATCGATTCAAAATTTTGTTACGAACTCAACGCGGCGTGACACTACTCGTTTGAATAATTTGTTGCGTTGTTCAGGACAAAATACTGATATAAATTGGTTCAAAATTAGGATTCTTAGCTAATTGCAAAATCATAAATATTTCGCTGATTTTTTTGTCGCTGCTACGCCCAATTGAGGGTATCAGCTAAAAGAATATATTTTTTAACTAGCTAACAACCTGAGCTGACGGTCCTCTTCATTTTCGGGTAATTTTACGAGACATACATTTGTGGGCAATTTTTTCATTATTTTTTTTAGCCAAAAATTGTCAAAAACTAAATTATCCAGTTTTGAATGCCAATCGATTCAAAATTTTGTTACGAACTCAACGCGGCGTGACACTACTCGTTTGGATAATTTGTTGCGTTGTTTAGGACAAAATACTGATATAAATTGGTTCAAAATTAGGATTCTTAGCTAATGGCAAAAACATAAATATTTCGGTGATTCTTTTGTCGCTGCTACGCCCAATTGAGGGTATCAGCTAAAAGAATATCTGTTTTAACTAGCTAACAACCTGAGCTAACGATCCTCTTCATTTTCGGGTAGTTTTAGGAGACATACATTTTTGGCATATTTTTTATTTTTTTAAGGGTTGACAGCACGTTAATTTTTTTTGCTAAAAATTGTCAAAATCTTAATTATTCAGTTTTAAATGCCGATCGATTCGAAATTTTGTTACGAACTCAACGCTTTTGGAGTATTTTTTGCGTTGTTTCGGACAAAATACTGATATTACTTGGTGCAAAATTAGGATTCCTAGCTAATGGCTAAAACATAAATATTTCGGTGATATTCTTGTCGCTGCTACGCCCAATTGAGGGTATCAGCTAAAAGAACATCTGTTTTAACTAGCTAACAACCTGAGCTAACGAT